ACAAAAGTTACAAATTGCAAAGTTGCAAGTTTAAATGTTGTTTACCTATAAAAAGTTATAGGGAGAACATACTCATACTTCATTTCGAATCTAAAAGCTTAGAATGAAATTTTAATAGAACTTAGTCATGGAAATATATGAATGTTATGTTGAAATGATTCAACATAAGGAAATTCTATACATGGAAGTATTATAGCAAGAGACTGATAAAGTATCATGTCTTTATGTAAGACATTTTGTGTCGAATCCCATATTCTTGAGATATAGGATTGATCACATATGCTATAGTATTCAATCATTCTAATTTTCAAAATGCCTAGGGCATTAGAAGGGAAAAGGGACTAGAACGAGATATGACTAAAATGGTTAAACAATTGTCTAGGACAATCTTAGGTTTACCAAAGATTGGTCGCTTGTGCATAGTTGGACGTATAGTATAATTTTGTAAGGATCATATTGACATTTCTAAGAAGAGGTAACTCTTGTTTAGCATTTATAGTCTTATTGGAATATGGAAATGCTTCCATAAGTAGAAGTTAATCATAAAATGCGTGTAAGATTAGAAACCTTAATGCAAGAAGGAAGTTCAAAGGAATGTACTTTGAATATGAGACTTCGTTTCCATAGGAGTATTCTCCATTGGAATAATTTGTAAATATCATTAGCAATGTCTTTGTGACTATGGTTCCTTGACATTACAAAAGGATCATTGCATTTTAATGTTTGGATCTAACAAGATTATAATAAGTGACAAGAATTTGTATTCTTACACTTACGATAAGGATTTGGAATTGTGAGAAGAGCATCATTAGAAATGCATTCAAGTAATCTATTTCACAAATACAGGGCCATAGATAAACATAGTATGCATGCTTGGGAGCATGGGATGACTATTGTTTTAATTCAAGTATTGAGTTGATTAGTCGAAAAAATATACAATGAATAAAGTCAGATTAATATGGTGATTAAATAATAATTGTTTTATTTATATTCAAAAGCTTTGAGACCATAGTTAATTAGTTTATTCTTGTGTTTCACTTCGAATGTTTTACTTCCCGAATAACAAGGTTATTCAAACACCTACAATCAATCATACTTTGGAAGTTAGTAATGAGGAAAGGTTGTCATGAATCCGACTATAGATTGTCTAAGTGTTTAGACATAACACAAAATTGCTACAGTGTTCATGAGTACTCCTAAAATAGGATTTGAGTATTGGATAAAACCCACAGTTATCTAAATCACTTCATGGATTTTGTCATGAGTGATTGTGAGATGATAATATCTTATATTCTTCAAAGAGAGACATATGAGTTGTAGTTTACAAGTCGGTTGCACATTGATGATATGTAAACACACCAGTAACTTGGTGTTATAAAACTTATTGTTGTGTATGATTTGGTGAGTAAATTGAGCAAGAATATGAGTCGAAGTTTATTCGTTCCTTTTACCCTAAGAGGGATGGCCTCCTACATGATTTAGTGATGACAACCTAAGCGCTTGGCCAAGCCTGGACTAAGTTGATGTGTTCAATTGTATTCAGTCGTCATAAATCAGAAATTGGGAAACAACACATGGACAAACAGAATGATTATGAATAATGCCTCATGTTAATACGATATCTAGTAGAATGCAGGAATTTTTGATCCCTTATCTAAAGGACGCGTTACTGATAAGATCAGAGTTCGTCAGCGGCTTTTGAAAGCTATGATTGCTAATCAGATTCTAAATTCATACTTGCAATAATATTTATTAGACTTATCCAAGTGGGATATTATTAGATTAGGTGTCTAAGCCCAGAACTATTTTTTGGTATGTACTTGGTTTGATTATGAGCATGGTCCTTTTGTGTTGCCTTCACTCATGCAACTTGATAGGATGACAAGTCGAGAGAGAGTAGGATTTATTATGTGAATAATAATTACTAGAAAATAGACCTTTAATGATGTGCAATTTATGACACGCATTGATTAATGATACGTAAAAGTGTGCGACCTATAAATAATGTCATCTCTCTAGAAATACGAAGGATTTAGGACGCGCATTTTTGCGTGCCCCAAAATTAGTGTTAGAAAAAAAAACACGGAGGGAACTTATTATAAAGTGTGTGTCATCTAAGGATGTCATTTTATAATTTTTTAATGAAACACACATTTTAATACGAAGGGGGAAATGGAATCACAAAAATTAAATCTAACGCCTGTTCAATCCTCTCTTAGTCTCCCTTGTTCCCTCTACTGATGTCTTCCCGTCGACATTAGTATTTGAATTAGCAAGAAAGAAGCCCTAAGACCTTCATCTTCACCCACCTCCAGCGCCTCTAAACCTTCTTCGTTCATCCAACACAATTTAGGTTTTCTCTGCAAGAAAACTTCCAATTACATCCTCCACATGAAAAAAAACCATACTTAGCGCATTTTGACATCAGATACCCTTGGGATGAAATCATCATTTTGATGTCAGGTTCCTTTTGGGAGATTCTTTTAGGGTCAATTGCTCATATTTAGTTATACACCGCCTTTAACCAAACCCTTATCATCCCAAACCAACCCTAATCTTTCGTTTATTTGTCTTGGCGACTAGAGAGGGAGTTGATTGAGTTTTTGTGTAAGGCTATCGTATTTTTGAGTCATGTTCGAGGGAGGATGAGGAAGAGGACCTCAAGACAAACTTTGCTGCAGCCTAAGGTATCGATGTCTATTCTTTTCTTCTCCTACTTTTCTGTTTTTCCCGCCAAGTACTACCAACTTCCATGGCTGACAACCTAGGCTGCCGGCATGTTTCTCTAGTTGTGGTTGTATCTGTGGGCATTCTAATGTGTATGGTATTCAGATTCATACTTTAAAAGTGCACCCTAAACTTGCTTTCCATCTTTCAATGGTCTTAACAAAATCGACAAGGGGTATCCACCCCTCATCCACCTCCATGGCCTCTAACCGTCACCGCCTCTTATAGTCCCTCTCCCCTTCTAATAGGTATAGATTTTTTTTCTTGAAGATTTTTGCGTTCCCCCCCCCCCCAAGATGGAACTCTTGCATCATGTTTTAACGCCACATCTAGTTGACCGCAGCTGAGTCGCCTCTTCAAACTTTGGATCACAACAGGTTTCTAGCATGCGTCTAACAACTGGGTGAGACAAGACACTTTATGTCTGCCTTCACCTCCTCAAATCTCTTCATTCATCATTTGTATTTTATTTTAGGGCTTCTTTCTTCTCTTTATTTTTATTTTTTCGAAATTAATATGATTTTAATTAATACGAAACCCTCCATGGATGCTTGAAGAAGCTGCTATGTAAGTTCTATCGTCTTACTGCACTCCAAGTATTTTTTATAATGTTATAATGGATTTTTTTCCAGGCAGTTATCAATGTGAATTTCCCTAATTCTTCTTATAATTATTTCCATAAACAAGAGTTATTATAGAATAGTATAAATGAAATAAACATAACATTTTCTCTCAGTCTACTTGTTTCTTTGAATTAGGGCAAATTGATTACTTTATTTTCCATGTTTATCTTCTTTCATATTCTTTAATTTACAGGATAATCATTGAATTTGATTATTTTCTTCTTTTGCAATTAAGCTTCTATTAAGTATAGATTTTTAAAAGCTTCTCTGAATTTTTTTTGGTACCTGGTGGTATCGGATCCAAGAATGGAGCTACTTTATTCTTAAACTAAGTCATTTTCATAGTGTTACTGTAGCCCTACATGCCTTTTTCTTTACTCTTAAACTGAGTCAATTTTGTTTGTTCGTTGCGCCTTCTTCACAATATGAGAAAAGTTCGGTCGTTACTCTTAAACACGGGAGCTACTTTATGCAGATCCTTTTGATGTGGAGGCATAAAAGAAAATGAGAAATAACATTGAAAAAGCGGACTAATTACACTAGAAGCTTGGTTGTCATGAGTAGGGTACGTATAAATTTTTGTAAATTATAAATTAACCAGTTATTTATAGTTTTTAATAATCATTTTTTCTAATTATAACATATTAAGTTGAAGAAAATTCAATCCATTATATACATTGTTGGTGGGTTACAGGAACCCCAATACAAAGAAAGTTGGATGACTTATTTGGGCTCTTAAGGTTTCATAAAGCAAGTCCTTATGATGTTTTCAAATGGCTAGTTGATGTTATTAGGAATCCTTATGAGGTAGTAACTAACTTACATTCACAAATTTAACTATCAATCATATTATCACTATTTTTTTTATAAAACATTCTTATTTTTTTTGTGAGACATTGTAAGCTAGATCGTATCCTACAGACTGACACATTTTCTAGGAATGTAAATTCTTATCAAAAGTTTCTTTTATCAAATATGATGTAGATTCTAATCATCTTAATATGTAAAGACTGTTATGTGAAACTAGGGCGACTCAGAAGTTTCATAGTAGACTATGGAGTCCCATTGATGGTTATAGTGTGGACAACTGTCTCTTTCAGTGTACCAAGGAAACTCCTATTCTGAAGTTCCATGAAGACTTTTTAGTCCACTCTTATGGGAATCTGAATCAACATACCATTGGACTGTTATCAAGGTAGAAATTTGTTGATATTTTATTCATTTTATATGATTAAACTTCAAAATTAGATCTTAATTCCCTTAAAATTTAACTACATGATATAAGTAAAGTCCCCCCTGCATACATCTTTGCAGCCTTCATCCCAGCTCTTATGATAGCAGGGTTTTATTTCTTTGATCATAGTGTTGCTTGACAGTTAGCTCAACAAAAAGAATTCAACCTCAAGAATCCTTCAGCCTATTACTTAATAAAAAAATTTTAATATAGTTAAACAAACTTTTACATGTTGACAAGGTAACACTTTCTTATTTAATTCACAAAGTTAACATGTTGACAAGGTAACACTTTATAATCTTGATTTGGATCAAATAGTCTCTGAACACTACCAGTCAGCAAACAGTCATTATGAGCATTACCTTTCAACTAAATTTCCATTTGGGTCGTACACACAAGTTTTTATAGATCCAGATATGGCAGTATCTTCATTAAACTTGGGTACATCAATGAGTATTTTCAGTTCACAAATTCTCTACGAACAGAAGATCATAGATCAGGTATGTAATGCTTTTAATGGATAAACATATAATTCAATGCAATTTAATGTTGCTAACAGTAATCAGTAATTGTAATGGAACAATAGACAATAGATACAAGAATAAACCTTGCATATGGGCTTGCAAGGCAATGGTTTGGAGTTTATATCACTGCAGAAGCACCAAATGATGGTAACATGCTATACTTATGGCTTTCCATAATTAAAATAAAGCAATCTAAATGTAGTACTGATTTACTTTTCCATTTTTTGTTGTCAGAATGGTTATTAGATGGACTTGCAGGGTTAAGCACTAAACATGGGCATCTATGTTTTTATGGAAATTGTGTTGTCTGTAAAGCAGATGATAGTTCTGCAACTGCTTTAAGCTCCTTTGATGCTTCCAAAGCTTTGTATGGAACACAAGCATTGGTTTTTACGGAAACATTTGTGCTTGGAAATCTGTAAGTTGATCTTATGAAATTATGAGGTTGTTTCTTTTTTGCTTAATGGATTTCATGAGTTAAGTACTAAACATAGGCATCTATGTTTCTTTAAATATAGCTGGCCTAATGTATCAAAACAATAACCATTTACCTTTTTTCCCATCTTCTTTTATCCTTCCAGCTCCCCACATTAGAATTCATGAATATTGCAAAATTTGCTTTTCGGATGTAAGGGTAAAATGGTCATTTGGTCTAATTCAGATGGTTTATTCAGTCTAGAAAAGAAACAAATCTTAAGCATACAACCCTTTATCCAGACAGACAGACATCAGTACCCATTCAGACACTTTATCCATACAAGACTTTTAATGGTAAAGAAAGAGAAACAACCCCTAACACCTTGTTTTTTTCCAAAAGAAAAATTGATAAGTTTTACCTTTGATAACTGCTTCTTTCTTACAGGTTGCAGTTCTCCAAATGTTGGAAAAACAGATGGGCCTCGAGTTATATTGTAATGTAAGATGGTTAGCTTTACCTTCACTCCTTAGTATTATACTACTAAACTAATAAGGCATCTTCATTCCACTGTATTATTATTATTATTCTTGGCAATGCCAGGTTTTGAAGAATCTGGTTGCACCTCCTAAAGATACAACTCGTCCTTTGAGAACTCTCAGCCCAAAAGAGGTCATTTCTTTGATTTAACATGGAAAAAAATATTATTATAAATTGATGGTAGTTTTAAAATTTTTAAATGAAGTATTGCCACCTGGCTAATGAAGTTGGAAATCTCGAACGCGCATTTCTCAGATAATTTTTCCCTTGTTGGGTGGGTTCTAGCGGTTTCACTGTTCAAAAGTATGCATATATAAGAAATTTGTACATATTTTTGTAGAAACTGTTAGATATTTATGCTGATGACATTAAATTTGGTGAAATTAAGGATGGGGTTTTCATATAACAAAAGGAAAAACCTAGAGGAATTAGCTGCATTGCGTGGATGGACATCAACACCAGATTCGAACAATTCGAAAGTTGAGTTTGTGAAGCGAGAAGGTGATGCTGGATGGCCTGGAATGATGAGCATACTGGTGCATGAACTTGATGGAATGTATGACCATCCAGTTTTACCAATGGTAGGAGAAACATGATAGTTATTGGAAATACAATGCCATTCCAAACTTGCTTCCAAATGTTTCCAAAAACCTGAAAGAGGTTCAAAGCAGCATGATGGTTCTGATGATAATGTAGATACAGTTGCCTCTGCCGATATGCGTTCAAATTATTTTATATGACTATCACTTTGATTTATTAGCTGCAATGATTCCACCTTGCAATGGCTGAGGGCAGATCCCGAAATCGAGTATCTTGCTAAGATTCATTTTAATTAACCAATACAGATGTGGGTATGTATGTTCTTGTATCTTAAATTCTTCTATTTTGATTTTTATTTTTAAATATTTCTATATTTGAATGTTATGAGAATCTATATAAACGCAAATACCAGATAAATCAATTGGAGAAGGATTAAGATGTTGTGGATCAAGCACAATCAATCACAACACTAGAGTTGTTCTCCTCTGTGATTCTCAGGTACTCTTTCCCTCTTGTGCACCTACTATCAACATACTTTTTGTTTATATAGTTAGCGAAAATCTCTTAATAACAATGTACAGTTAGATCCCATTAATATCAATGTATTACAATTTTACATGATGTTATTGGATGGAACTGATTGTTTTGGTATCTATTTGTTTAAATATTTTTGTATTATGCGTAAATTAGTATCGTAAAGGCGCGTCGTAAATGCATATTGTAAATGGTTACTGAATTTTATGACATGCAAATGCGTGTCATCTACATTTATGACAGTGGCTTTCCTGATACGCATTGTGTGTCATAAACACGCGTATAGTAAGGTTACGACACGCAAATGCGTGTCGTCTTCCTTTTTGACAAGGCCTTCCTTGATACGCATTGCGTGTCACAACTGCACATCGTAAATGCGTGTCATAAATGCGCATCGTAAATAGATGACGCGCAAAAGCGTGTCATCTCTCGTAATGATAGGGCCTTCCTTGACATGCATTTGTGCGTCGTCTGAGCGTTTTACGACACGCATTGCGTGTCGTAAAAGAATGTTTTTCTAGTAGTTTAATTGGTATTCAGAATGATTTTATTAATATATTATATGATTAATATATTATTTGGAAATCGTATTATTAATTGGTGATTAATCAGAAATTAAGCTAGGGATTAAAGGAACTGATTAATAATTGAGGGATTGTTGTGCAAATCATTGATAGTTGCATAACTTGGCTGATGGACTTCATAGAGTGGAGTGGACGAAATTTATGTATAATCCCATAAGATTTCGTCTAAGGGCTCTAAGGAAGGAGTGCATCCGCTGCTTGTTGCCTAAGTAATGTATTAGGGCTTCCACTGGAAAACGCTAATAGCCACATCTATTTAAAGACCACTCTACATGTGATTTTCGGCCCTATGCATGCATTCTAATAAGAACCCATTCCGATTTCACCTCTCTCCAAGTCATCTTGTTACATTAGGTGTTTGTGACTCCATTAGAGGTGCAACACTTAGGGCACTAGGCTTTTAGATGTCAAGGATTGCACTTGTTATTGCTACATAACAAGAGAGATAATGTTCTAACGCTAATCATATGTGATTTTTTGAAAATAGTATGCTAGTCTTAGGGCTTATTGTAACAACGTAAATTTTCAAACGGATTTTTCATTTTAAAAACATTAATTTCTCATTCCACGATATCAAAAAAACACAAGTGTCTAGATTGTCAATCATTTCACAATGTAAATCACAATCCGATAATCATAGAACATCTCCCGCCGGTGTGTACAATCATGCCGGTGCCTTGTCGCGATCCTCGGAACTACCAGAAACACATAACACATAACACAGTAAGCATAAAGCTTAGTGAGTTCCCTAAAATACCACACAAACCATATTAGCCACTCGAGGCTATAACTCAATAAGACCCTCCGATCAATGTGTCTCAGTGGGACCCTCCGGTCCCACAACTCAGTTGGACCCACTAGTCCCTCAACTCAACAACTCAATATAATACACAATAAGAATATCACAAAACAAATAGCAGGATATCTCTAAACATAGCACATACACATGAGACCTTCCGGTCACCCATAGTTGTCACACCCCCAAACCAAGGATGGCGGAAACGTCCAGGGGTGGAGGACTTCAAGTATAGTATCATAACCACAATTTCAATAGTAATTTCAGCAAACACAACCAACATATATATAATTGAAAAAGTTACATCACTTGTATGAATTACATGTTTCAAAATCAATTACAATATGTTGACAAAATATGAAAAGTTTGACGCCTTAACGTCCCATCCTCAAAAGCACTTGATTACCTGTTTAGTGATTTCCTGAGAATACAAGTTGTTTGAAAAGTGTCAACACAAAGGTTGGTGAGTTCATAAGTTTTTGCTATAAAACTTAATAGAATTCCTTCTCATGTAAATGCTACGTTTGTTTTAGAAAAATCTGATATTTTCCTTAAAATCCGTATAATGTAGCCTTATGACCAAAGACCAAAATGTATAAGAAATCATTATTACTTAGTAGAAATGTCATGAGTTTGAATTGATATAAAAAAGTGAATATAAATCAACCTAAAACCTACTTAGGTTTTATGAAATCTCGTAAACTTTATGAATTGTTATCTCCCTATGTGAGTCGCTATAATCATACTATGACTATGTGAACCTGCCACGACGTTTCTCAGGCGTCGCGAAAATGAAATGACATTTGTCACCCGTAGACCTGCAGGTCCCACTGTAGCTAGCAGCAAGGTGTGGGGTGTCAAACCCAATATAGATCTATATACAAGTATCACGTTCTCCTTCCAAGAGACTCTGATTATAACTACCAGGAATTATATTCCGCACTCGGACGTACGGAAAGAGAGAATGTCTCACAATTTAGGGTAACAAGTTTACGTATAATGTGTGTGAGTGTAAACCTTTTCTGTATGAATGTACTCTTTTAGTACGAGTGTGTTATGCAATATATCATAAACTATACCTATTATAGTTTATCTAAAACGTTTGTAATATGTAAGAACTCTTTTATGGAAATGTATTAGTGTTATGAATTTATTAAACTATACTTTTTATAGTTTAATATACGTGTTCTAAAATGAATGAATAATATTTATTATGAATGACTTAGTTTCAGTTCATGATGATAAACTAACAAAGAAACACATTCAATAATTAGAACTTATGATTATACACTTTGCTCAACATAATACAAAGTGTTATGATATTTACATGCTGTTGGCTAACTTTAGCCATTCTTCACTATTTTGGAAAAATCATACGAAGTCGAAAACTAGATCCGTAAATTCTGAGAGTTCACAAAATTTGTCTAGTTTACTCATAATTTTTATCACGATTTTTAATGACCTTCAACTTGCGTGAAAAAGTCCATAATCACAGATTGGTCCGGATTGTTGTTTGAAATGATAGGCAGTTTTGTAAAAATCACCATAAATTGTAGAAAACTCGTATGGAGATGTGCAAGTAGTCATTTTAAAGATAAGAACTTGAACTACGTGCACCTTGTACAGTTTTGAAAACAAAAATGTTTAAGATGCCCAAAACAGACCGTGAATGGAGTTGAACTTTTCTGATGAAGGCTGTTAGAAAATTTTAGTTATGTTCTTGGTGTTTTAACTTGTATTCCCCCCTTAAAAACTTGAGAAAACATGAAAATGTAGAGGTATGAACTCACCTTAAGTGATTTCAGTAGATGATTGTTGAAGAATGGAAGTGTTTAACTCAAGAACACTTGGAGATGCCTTGAAGATTTTCGAGAATCTAACATTATAGTTATGAAGTTTGTGTAAGCAATCAATTATTTGAGTAGAATGAAGTGAAATAATCATAAGAAGGATGAATTATACTTACTAAGAGTGGAAGAACACTTGAAAATCAGCCTTGAATCTCGAAATTGGTGTGGAAAAAGTTTGAGAGAAAAGTGGTGTTTGATACTTAGTGAAATGAGAGCAAATGAGAGAAATGAGGAGAAAGGATGTTTGTTCCAGCTCTAAAAACGTGGGAATGAGTGTAAATTGAGTGTAAGGGACATTGAAGTGACCTAGGTAAGGTGGGGAGGTATGGCTGGTCATAGAGTGGGTGTGGGGTGGTTGCTTGTGACATAGTTTAAGGCAAGGTCAACACTCCACCTTAAATAAATCCCCCATTAGATCTTTATTATTTAGATAATGATTTTCATCAAAATATGTTTAAATTATGAATATTTAGGGTTTATTATGTTAAAATATAATTTCTGGAGAGAATCCCGCTTTAAAATCACAAAAAACGGGCTTAAAATGTTAAAAATATCAAAAAGGGGCTAAAAGTGACAATATTCCGAATTCTGGCCGAGGTTCGGCCTTCTGATGCTGAAACCGAGAGGAGAGAGGGCAGAAACCGAGAGGGGAGAAGAGAGGGAGCAGAAACCGAGAGGGGAAGAGAGAACAGAGAGGCGCGAAGAGACAGAGAGGAGAGAAGGAGACAGAGACCGAGAGAAGAGAAGAGAGAGCAGAGAGGCGGGAGGCGAACAGAAGCAGAGAGGCGACAGAGAGGAGAAGCGACAGAGAGCGAGAAGCGACAGAGAGGAGAGAAGCGATAGAGACCGAGACTTGGTCTCAGCTACAGGGGTTCGGTCCTCCGGGTTTAGCCAACAGAGGCTCGGTTCGGTCCTTGCTACTTTCGGTTCCTAGGTCTCGGCCTTAAGGAGCTTCGGCTCCTTGAGAAGGGTTTCGGTTCCTAAGGTCCATTTTTCTCGTTTTTACCCCGTTTTAAGCCGTTTTGGACCTGGTTAAGGGTCGGAATGACCCGAATGATTCTAAAAAGTTACGGGAAACTTTTGAGAGAGATTTGGGAGAGATTTCACATACTTGGAGAGATTTGGGAGAGATTTGACATTCTTGGAGAGATTTCTCATACAAAGAGATATTTGAGAGAGGTTTCACATACTTGGAGAGATTTGGGAGAGATTTGACATTCTTGGAGAGATTTCTCATACAGAGAGATATTTGGGAGAGATTTCACATACTTGGAGAGATTTGGGAGAGATCTGATATTCTTGGAGAGATTTCTCATACAGAGAAATATTTGAGAGAGATTTCACATACTTGGAGAGATTTGGGAGAGATTTGACATTCTTGGAGAGATTTCTCATACAGAGAGATATTTGAGAGAGATTTCACATACGTGGAGAGATTTGGGAGAGATTTGACATTCTTGGAGAGATTTCTCATACTAAGAGATATTTGAGAGAGATTTCACATACTTGGAGAGATTTGGGAGAGATTTGACATTCTTGGAGAGATTTTTCATACAGAGAGATATTTGAGAGAGATTTCAGATACTTGGAGAGATTTGGGAGAGATTTAACATTCTTGGAGATATTTCTCATACAAAGAGATATTTGAGAGAGATTTCACATACTTGGAGAGATTTGGGAGAGATTTGACATTCTTGGAGAGATTTCTCATACAGAGAGATA